ATATATAAATATATTTGTTTGTGAAATACAAATTGTCAAAAATATAAAAACTTTAAAATAAAATTCAGTAACTTTATAATTAATTAAATTTAAAATTTAAAATATTTATTTTGAAATTCCATATTCGATAAATGAATAATTTTAATTTAATAATTATTTAAAATTTAAAAATTAAAACCACCATGGAACCTATATATTATATATAAATATATTTGTTTGTGAAATACAAATTAAAAAACTCATAAAAAAACGAAATTAGTTTAATCGTTTCAGGAACAGTGTCACATCAGTTTGTCGGATAGAAATGGATGTAGACGGCCAACAATGACGGTGCAATCGCTTCCCTCCTCATCAAGAAATAACGGAATTAACCCACGCGGGACACGGTAGACAGACTCCCGACAGAATTAAAATAATAATAATAATAATAATAAAATTGGAAGATGAAAAATAATAATAATACTATAAATTAGAAGAAAGTGAAGAACTCTCTTTAATTGACCCAAGCGGAGAAACCGCGGAACCCGCGTTAGGAACACGAAAAAAAAAAAAAAAAAATCACCTTCTCCTCCGTCGTTCAACGGCTTCTGTTACCTCGCCTTTTTTCCGATGGATCTTCAAATTCTTCATTCTTAACATCGTTGCTTTCTACCCCCCGGAATCAATGAATTTGTAGTAATCCCCGATTTATCATGAGATGCGTTGGCTGCCAAGCATCTCCTTCTCTTCCTCTTCTTCTTCCTCCGCCTCCTCCTCCTCCTCCTCCGCCACGTCCTCTTCCTTCTCGTTCTTTCATTTGTCTTCATCCACGTCGTCGTCTCCTAAGAACAACGGGCACGACAACAATCAGAAGAGTTTGAGTCAGCATGAACAGCACCATCACCGTTACAATTTGCCCGGATCTAGCAGTATAGCTCCCAAGCTCAACAGGCAGAGGAAGCCGAGGAATCTAAGCGACCAGGAACTTGTCGAGGTTAAATCGGAGACTGTAGTGGCGCTTTCAAAGTCCTCCAGCAGTTACGATAATTGTCCTACCGTGTCCATACCGGTGCCAAAGTCGTCATCTGTGTCGGTAGCTGTGCCGTTGCCGCTACCGTTGCCCGTTCCAGATGCGGACGTGGAGCAGCGGCATCCATCGCCGAAGGAACTCGGTCCTGGTAAATATGTAGAGGACAGAGACAGGGATAGGGATGGAGATAAAGCAGACGGGCTAGGTGGAGTAAGTGTCCCTTTGACCCCGGCCGCCAGGTGATTTCTCTTTATCTTCATTCCCTTTTCTGTTTTTCCCTTTTTCATATTGGTTTTAATTGGATATGTAATTGGTAATAGTTTGATCGTATCTAATAGTTACAATGCTTAATTTGGTCTTTTCCTTGAACATTTTCCTCTTCTATGAACGTCCAATGTAGCAAAAGAATGGTTAGCATTTCCAGAATTATTTTAAAAAATTTATTTAAGTATGTCTGCTTAGAATACAATCTCCTTTGCCTGCTAATTTGCTATCTCACTGTGCTTTAATCAGGTTCCATGTCTGAATTTGTCCTGTCTCCATCTCAATATCATTGGAGGATTTCCTTTATTTAACTTTTTTTTTTTTGTTTTATTTTCCTTTTTCTTTTCGGTAGGGAAATTTTATTTTATTTTTGTCTATTATGTTGTTCATTGTAGAAGTGAGGATAGTTTATTGTCGAATTATGTTCTTTGGATATTTTGGGAGAAGGGACTCAAACCTGAGACCCTTTTATAAGGAAGGTTTGGCTGTCCTTAAGATGATTACCTTGATCATTTTCAGATATTACTGCTAATGTTGATAATAAAGCCCTTTGTTAACTTGATCTTCTGTTACAGCACATCTGTTGCTCGTGACTCAAGGTCAACATTCAGGCTGGCGCGTCAAGATGTGAATCAAGAGAAAAGTCATAGGGATGAGTTTAGGGTAAATGTTCCTGCTCAGAGTTCAACTAATAGCCCCTTTACCAGTCCTGTACTTAGCCCGCAGAGAAGAAGTTCTGCTGATGCTTTCCCACTTTATTACATGGTTCCTAAAGGAAATCATGTGTGGTCAGCACCAGAGATGCCAAGCTTAGATGTTCCAGGGCTCCCTCCCCCTGCATTCTTTGATTATACTGCTTTTAGCCCTGATAATACTCCACTCCACAGTCCAAATAGAAGTCCCCGTCGAAACGCTAGAAGCCCAAGTGGACCTGCTTCACCTTTGCATCCCAAATTGTCACTTGATACATCATCAACATGGCTTGAAAGTAATGGTCCTCTTGGTGGGCATCCACTACCTCTTCCTCCAGGAGCACCCATGCCTTCACCATCATCTTCCATTCTACCAGGGGCAACTAAACCAGAGTCACTGCCCATGAATACTCAATGGCAAAAGGGAAAGCTTATTGGCCGTGGTACATTCGGCAGCGTTTATGTTGCCAGTAGCCGGTACGTAAGTTCTTTGTATAGGTCCTGCACTCCTGTTAGTTTCTTTTAATGTCTAAAAACTGATGTGGTTTTCTATTCTGACAGAGAAACCGGAGCTTTATGTGCCATGAAGGAAGTTGAAATGTTTCCTGATGACCCAAAATCTGCAGAATGTATAAAGCAACTAGAGCAGGTATCTTCTGATGCTTTTGTATAACTTAGTGGTGTTAACGTACATGGGTGAAACAGGATGAATAAGAGATATGGAGTGACCTTTTAGATTGATTTTGGGTCTTAGAGATCACACAATTTATTTTTGCAGATCTTTTCAGCCTTTGATGAAGGCAGAATATATGTCACATTGGAGTTCTTTGCATTGCTTATTAGTTTGTTCTCTCTAACTCTATTCTAACTACTTTCATTTGTTTCAGGAAATTAAAGTTCTCAGCCAGCTGAAGCATACAAATATAGTGCAGTATTATGGAAGTGAAATAGTGAGTGTTAGTCTAATCACATTTAAGTGTCCATCCTCCTCTTGTTTCTAAACATGTTATTTTAAAAAGTTAACTAATTAGGAAATTTTAATTTATGCATCTTCAGGTTGAAGATCGGTTTTATATATATCTTGAATACGTACATCCTGGTTCGATTAATAAATATGTTCAGGAACATTGTGGTGCCATGACAGAATCTGTTGTTCGCAATTTTACTCGCCATATTCTTTCAGGGTTGGCTTACTTACATGGCACAAAGACTATTCACAGGTGTGAAAACATGCCTGATTTTATGTTTTGAGACTGGGCTCTCATCCATTCTAGTGTGGCAAACTAGAGCATAACAATGAATATTGTCTATTTGTTTAGTCTATTTTAAGCACTGGGGAACGATAGTGTTGATGGAAGGGCCTTTAGTATATTATGGCATCTATCGTTGGAGGTTTAGTGTGTTCTTTTCCTGTTTCAATTAGGGACATCAAAGGGGCTAATTTGCTCGTTGATGCATCTGGTGTTGTCAAGCTTGCTGACTTTGGAATGGCAAAACATGTGAGTTTCTTTTCATATGCCTTTTTATTTTTATTTTTGAGATACATTGATACACTCCTATTCATAGATGTAAGCATGCAAATCTGTGGCTGTAGAATCTTTTACAATTTACATGTATGCTCATTTCCACTTAATTGGGATGTGTTCCTTTCCCTCTAAGGGATAGAAGAAGAAAGCCTAGACATTTGCACAAATTTTCCTGTCATTTCAGTAGCTTGTCACATTTAGAACTTTTCAAACTTCTCACATTTCGGTCCATCTGGTCTTAAAGTGATGGTTTCTTGATTTTTCATATTGCACAGCTTACTGGACAAAGAGCTGATCTGTCTTTGAAGGGAAGTCCCTACTGGATGGCTCCAGAGGTACCCATCCTGATGGCCTGTCAATCTGGGACACCCCATAGATTACTATTACTGATACGATTCTCTTTCCTGTAGCTCATGCAAGCTGTAATGCAAAAAGACAACAGCTCTAATTTAGCACTTGCTGTTGATATTTGGAGCTTGGGCTGTACAATCATTGAAATGTTCACTGGGAAACCTCCTTGGAGTGACTATGAAGGGGTAAGTACCTGCTGTCTCTTAATGTAGTTTATGCATCATGTTTTGCACTGGAGGATCTATACAGCTTGCTGACTTGTAACCCTTACCCTGGTATCATTGAGATTCTTCAAATAATTTATAATAGAAAGGTTTCCTTCGATGGAAATGTATAATTTGCCAACTTCTTGTTCTCCTTCATTCAAGGCACATGGCACATGGTTGCCTACTTGAATATGGTGCTGTGATGATATGATGCACACTCATAATACCTTAACTGAGTTTTACTGCCTATTGTCATGAGATGTGTAGAGAATAGATAATGGATGACTAGCATTTAGCTTGATCATTCAACTATAGCTATGTGGCATTCCTTTGGATTTACTAATGATGTCCATTGATGCTGGTGGACTGTTATCCTGGCAATTATAAATCTCCCTTCTGTAATTAAATTTGTTTAGGTTCTTTTTATCAATGCAGGCTGCAGCTATGTTTAAAGTGATGAATAATACCCCTCCCATACCAGAAACACTATCACCTGAGGGCAAGGATTTCTTGAGATGCTGTTTCCAAAGAAATCCTGCAGATAGACCATCTGCTAGCATGTTGCTAGAACATCGATTTCTGAAAAGCTCACAGCAGTCAGGCATCCAATCTGCCACCCCTTTGTTTAATGGGATGAAATCAATGGTAAATAAGTAATGCCTGTTCATTTGGTATTTGCTAATTTTAAATGGTTTATTTATACTGTATTTTCTATAATCCATGTAGGATCTGCCCCTTAGTCCAAGAGAGCATTCTGATATTAAACTCGATCAGTTGCCAGTACTTCCAAGCTCAAGGAGTCCAAAAGCAGTGACATCTGAAAGGTAAAAGGCTACTTTTTGCACTATCTCAAAATCCATCCTTTTTCTCTTTATCCAGACCTCTATATTCACTCCATGCTCAAGTTGGTAAATCTTAACTATTGCATGACTTGCCGGTTCTAGCTTCATGCATTATTCTTTTTCTCCAGTGAGACTGCCCAACGATCTCATCATGAAGCTTCCAACTTAAGAAGGGCCTCACGTCATTCTCCATGTTCTACCCTTGAGGCTCTTCCTAGTCTATCTCCTCCACGCTCGCATCAGAATGCACATCACTACCATTCTTAGCTCTACCAACTGTGGTTTCAATTAGATAACATGGAGGAGAGAACTACTGCTGCGTTGTTTTTTCAATACTCCCGGAAGACCTTTATGGGATGCTGAGCAGGTGAGTTGTGGCAATAGGGAATGGATTCGTTTCATCGAGGACTTCCCCCAATATGTTTCATCCTGCCAGACACAGCAGCAGTTAGGCACGGGTTTTTGTAATACTATGTTCACTAATTTAGAGCTACAAAATTAAGGGAGTTGTTTTTATGTATATTTGCACGAGCTGATATTTGTCATAGCCTTGTAAATTCGAAAATCAATAAAAATGTAGTTTTTAGAATGTATTGATGTAACATATTCTCCTTCCTTTTTTTTTATGAGGGATTAGTGGAGCAATTTGATTTTAGTGATCAGTTCTGTTGCTATTTGCTAATACTCGATTGTTGTTTAAGAAAATGTATGGGTAAGAGTTCCTTATGGAAGTGAAACAGGTTGACTAGTTGTTGATGGTAGTAGCTTGTGTTTTCCAGGAAAACAAACAGAAAGTTGTGGTGGCAGGTGCCCAGGTCCAGGATTATAAAGTCAATACATATTGGAATTTGGAATTGTAAACCTATTTTTAGTCAAATGTTTCTGTCTCATCAGGGAACAAGCTACAAAGGATTAAACGTGTTGTGTCTGGTTGAGGAGCTTTAGGTAATTGCAATTGATGATTTTGTTAAATTTATTAATTTTAACTTTAATCTAAGTAGTTTAGAATTATTTTTTAAAATAATTAATTATGATATTTAGAATTATTTATTTATAAATTAAATTAATTTATTAAATAATAAATATTAATTATTAATTATTTTTAATAATTAAATTAAAATAAAATTTTGATAATTTTAATGATCTTAACAAATTTAATAGCTTTTATGGCCATAACATGTGTCTGTTCAACCTTGGCCTTTTTCTTTTTAGTTTAATCCAAAATACTACAATCCATGCCCCATCTAAGATTTATGAAATCTCATAAAAATTTCAAGGCTGATTTCTTTAATCCGATTGTGATCTCTCTTTTAAAAAGGTTGGTCGCCATCCAGTGTTAAACGTTCGTGGTTGACGGTTCCAGACAACACCTTCACGGGCCATTACTTCCCTACATATCAACGTTTTCCACTAGAAAATGATATGGTATGATAGGGATATTTTTTTTTTGTTTGGTCTATTCGTATGGTATTATTGTTTTCTAATCTTTTTTTTCTAGCTGCATGGTAGATAGATTGCAAAAACATACTACTCACTTTACTCAAAATAAGAAAAACACATTATCAATAACCTTTACCATTTTTAAATTTGGAATCCAGCTCTAAGTTGATAGAAAAGTTCCAGCTAAATAAATTATAAGACATGATGAAATAATTGTCGTAAAAATAGGTGTATTTCTACATTAAAATCTATAAATAATCGTTCTAAAAGAACATAAGATCTTCTCATAATTAGGGCCAAAGTGGCAGTTTAGTGATCAAAAGAAAAGAGAAAAATAAAGGAAAAGAGAAGAAAGACAATACATAGCAAGAAAACTAAATTACAAAGAGAAGCATGATATCCCCTCAAAAACATGAAAGTATAAAGAATAAAATAAATGGTTGTGCAATCTAGAAAGTATAAAATTAAACTTAAAGGGGGTTAGGAAAATGAATTTAGAGCGAAGTGCACCAAATTGAATTAGATTTAGCTAAATTGGAAGTATGAATAGTGTATTGACAGCATGAAATGAAATTTAATAGAAACTAAAGAAGCATCAATTTGATAAAAGTTTTGTTGAATTGAATAGTAAGAAATTAAATATATCAATAAAGATATTCAAAACAAAATAACAAATAGTAAAGTTAAGTTTATAGAAGTATAAAGTTAAAGACTAAACTAAGAAATCTATTTGAGAAATTTAAAATTGAACTAAGATATTATTTGTGAAAATT